ACATCGCCAACGAGCAAGATGAGCTGATTGAGAGCCTGCGCCAGGTAGCAGATGATAAGTTGACAATGTTGTTGATATTTGAGAACGAAAAATCAAACGAAGTGTTGTTTTTGTCGATGATGATGATGATGATGATGATGATGATGATGATGATGATGTTGTTGTTTTGTGATGGTGATGGTGATGGTGATGGTGATGGTGATGGTGATGGTGATGGTGATCATGGCAGGACAATGCCCTGCTGTTCGAGGACAACAACATCTTGAACGAGGAGGTTGAACAACTTTCCCGTCAACTTCAGGACGCGCTCGACGATCGTGAAGAGCTAAGGATGATCCTCCACCAGAATGGCCTCCTGCCAGATCTGCAGCGAGAGCAGAGTAGAGGAGAAGGAGGACGAGAAGGAGGAGGAGGAGGAGGAGGAGGAGGAGGAGAGGACTTCCACATGGCGCTGAAGCTGGACATGAAGATGGAGGAGGTGGCAGGGAGGGAGGAGGAGTTCATGGACGAGGTGTGCGAGGATGTCGCAGATGCAGTGGGAGGCCGCAAGGAGAAGGTGAAGGTGCGGGGAATGCGGGAAGGATCCATCCTGCTTGACATCGTCCTCCTTGAGGGGATCTGCGGGGAAGGGAAGAGCGCGAGGAGAGCGGCGGAGGAGCTGCGGGCTCAGGCAGAGGACGAGTCGTCGCGGCTGAGGGGGGGGAAGCACACGAGCAAGACGAGCAGCCTGGATATCATTTGGCACGCGGAAGAAATTGTGGAGGGAAAGAGGAGCGTGCGAGAAGAAGAGGAGAGGAGCGTGCGAGAGGAGGAGGAGGACAGGAGGAAGCGAGAGATTCTTGAGGAGGAGAGGAGATTGAAGGTGTATGAAGAGGAGAGGTTGCGAGAGGAGGAGGAGAGGAGCAGGAGGAAGCAAGATCAGGAGGCTCTCCGGGCCCTGGCAGCTGGGCTCAAGCAGGACGAGCAGCGAGCAGAGCTCTCGGAGCTGCAGATGGAGCAACTCATCAGCTCGCGCTCAGCTGAGCTCGTCCGAATGCACCAGCTGGAGGCCGACCTGGAGCTCTTTCGCAGCTCGACGGAGGACGAGAGGATGCTGGAAATGTCAGAGAGGATCGCGGAGCTCATGGCGAAGCATGAGACGTCGATCAAGGAGCTGGCGAGGCTGGCGAGCATGGCGGAGGAGCACAAAAGGGGCCAGCAGGAGGCGGAGGAGCAGCTGCTGAGGTACAAGGATCAGGTGTACCAAGAGAGGAAGCGGATGATGAAGGCGTCAGCCTCCTCCTTCAACGAGCACGAGGTCCTTCAGAGGAGGCTCGAGGCCAAGAGCGAAGAATGCTCCGCCCTGCAGGCCCAGTGCACCCTTCTCCTCTCCCATGCCTCCTCCCGCAGTTCCCAGCAGGCTGAGCTGACCGCATACATGGAGGAACTCGACCGCTCTCTTCGGCAGCTGGAGGCTCTGGTGGAAAGGGTGCAGGAGGAGTCGCTGCAGAAGATGCTGGCGAGCAAGAGGGTGCAGCAGGAGCAGGCGAGGGAGCTCGAAAGGCTGAGGAGGATGGAGGAGCTGAGGGTGAGGGAACTTGACTTGCTCAGGGAGGAGATCAGTCAGAGCTCAACAGCTGGGTCGGTTCCTGGAGGGCAGCCGGGCATGAAGAAGCTCCTTGAGCTGACCGTGGAGCTGGAGGAGGTGACGGCGAGGCTGGTGGAGGAAGAGATGAGGGTGCAGCAGCTGGAGGAGCAGACGGAAGACTACGAGACGATGATGCTGCGGGTGCAGGACAAAGTCAACGAGCTCGAGAGATCCCACGACGAGTTTGCGGAGGTCAACGAGCATCTCCAGCTGGAGAACAGCAGGTTGGAGACTGAGCTCGGGCAGGAGCTGGAGGAGCTGAGGAGGAGGAGCGACCTACTCCAGCTGGACAACAGCAGGCTGCAGCAGGCGCTCGAGAGCCAAGGGAGGAGGCTGCGAGACAGCGAGGAGCAGCGGCACCAGCTGCTGGGCGAGCTGCAGGACGTGAGGGAGGACCTGCATGCTCTGCGTGAGCTGGAGCTGGAAGCCCAGCTGCACAGTATCATCCTGCGGATCGAGGACGCGGAGAGGCAGGAAGAGCTGCTCGAGGAAGAGCTGCTGGGAATGCACGTGCGGGTCAGGGAGCTCCACATCTCCAACTCCGAGCAGCGAGAGGTGCAGGAGGGAAAGAAAAACGTCAAAGAGGCCGGGGAGGGAGAGAGGGGGGGCAAGAAAGATGTCAACATGGCGTCAAACCCCAAGGTGCATGGGGAAGACTCGTCGGACTTCTCTGAGTCCTCGGGGCCTGAAAGGATGCGAGCGATGATAACTCGACTCGCCATGGCCCAGACTGATGTGAGCGAGGAGGAGGAGGGGGAGGAGGAGGGGGAGCAGGAGCAGGAGCAGGAGCAGGAGCAGGAGCAGGAGCAGGAGGAGCAAGAGGAGGAGGAGGAAATGTTGGTCGGTTACTGAAAATTTTCAGATCGCAAGGAAGGATGGCGAGATTCATCAGCTCAATTCATTGATAACAAGCCTGCGATCAAGTCTTGGGATGGCAGAGCAGCAGGTACAGCAGAGCTAGCCAATCCTGTCTGTCCTCTACCTCTCCTCCTACCTCTCCTCCTATCTTTGCTCCTCTTTCTCCTCCTATCTTTCCTCTTTCTCTTCGTGTCCTTACTGCTCGGCAAACTGATCTCCTGCTCCAGCTCAGAGAATGGAAGTTGAGGGCGTCACAGCACAGCAAAGAGAGCAGATGGCTGCGCAGTCAGGTCAGAGAAGGAGGAAGAGGAGGAAGGGGGTTGGAGGGGGGCTAAAGTGGTGGTGGTGGTGGTGGTGGTGGAGGAGGAGGAGGAGGAGGAGGAGGAGGGAGCAAGGAAGGGAGAGTGAAGCTGCCTTCTCAGCTCCGACAGACTTCATATGGAGAGGAGGAGAAAGGAAAGAACTCGATTCTCTCCATGCCGGTGAGGAGAGGAGGGAGAGAGAGGGCAGAACTGACCGCGAGGACAGGGGGATAGCGGCATTTTTGGGACCTCAGGAGTCTTTGCGCCAGAGCAGATCGAGGACAGGTGAGAGGAATGAGGAGGAGCTGCAGGGAAAACGAACGCGAGGGAGGGAGAAAGATTGAGGAGTGGGAAAGGATGGGGAGAAGGGATAACGGGAAGAAGAGAGAGAGAAGAGAGGACGAGGAGGACGAGGACGAGGACGAGGACGAGGACGAGGAGGAAATATTGTTTTCAAGTGACTGTGTTGCAGATACTTGGCGCAGCAAGAGAGAATGGCGAATCCTCCTGACCCTCAGCTGGAGGGGGAGGAGAGGAAAGGAGAGCAGTACGCGCGATCGGAGGGATCCGATTACGAGTACGAGTACGAAGACACGGAGGAGGAGGAGGAGGAGGAGGAGGAGAAGATGGAGGTGCACAGGGAGGAGCAAGGGAGGACAGAGGAAGACTTGCAGGCTCGTCGAGGTGAGATGAAGTTGTTGTTGTGATGTTGATGGTGACGAGGCGAAGCAGATCAGCCTCGGGTGATCAACCACACGGTCTTTTGAGAGAAGCAGGAGCATCAGCATCAGCAGGAGCAGGAGCACCAGCATCAGCAGGAGCAGGAGCAGGGGCAGGAGCAGGGGCAGGAGCAGGAGCAGGAGCAGGAGCAGGGGCAGGAGCAGGAGCAGGGGCAGGAGCAGGAGCAGGAGCAGGGTAGAAGGATTCAGTTGCGTGCAGATTTAATTATTAGTGAATAGAAATTTGTTCCCGATGCCACCCACATACTCCTCCTCTCTCCTGCTCTGCCTCGTCTGCTTCATCTCTCCTCTATCATTTCTTCGTTATCGACATCATTTTGCGCAAGGACTTGGTCACACTTCGCAGCCGAGAGGTCTTCTCCTCCTCCCTCCCTTCCTCCTTGCCTCCTTCCTCCTTCCTCCCTGCTCCCTCGTACAGCCCGTTGGCTCGACCCGACTCCTGCCGTCTTCCGTCCCCAGACGTTTCTGCTCTCCTTCCCTCCTCCTTCCTCTTTTCCTGTCCGTTTCCCTCCTCCCTTCCTCCTGCTCCTCCTCCGTTGCCCATGAGCTGCTTCTCCTGCTCCTCCTTTGTCACCTGATTGCGCAAGGATTTGACGACTTACCGGCAGCCGGTAGGAGGAGGAGGAAGGCTTCTGCTCGGGCAGAGGGATGACTGTCACACAACCTGCTGGAGCTGTGAAGGGAAGGAGATGCTGGGAGAGAGGAGGAGGACGCGGGGAGAGAGAGAGAGGAGAAAGGCAAGTGCAGGAGGAGAGCATGGGCGTGAGGTGGAAGGGGAAGTTGAAGAGGAGGGAGGGAGGGAGGGAGGGAGGGAGGGAGGGGAGAAGGAAGTAAGGGAGGGAGAGCATTGGGAACCGGATGCCTCGTCTTCGCGCAGGAAGCCCTCGATCTTCCTCCCGTCCCACATCACTGCTTCTCCTCGCCCGCTCACTCGGTCCTCGTACCACGTCCCCCGCACACTGCTGAAGCCCACCTGACTCCCACCTTAGTTCCCAGCTCCTCCCCCTCGAACTTCCCACCTGCCTCTCCTGCTGCCTCCCCCCCAGCTGGGGTCCAGGTAGGCCGAAGAGGAGAAGCCCGGCGCCATGCTTGAGGTCGTTGCGCCACTCGCCCTCATACCGCACGCCGTTGACGGACGTCAAACAGCCGAAACCTGACCGCCTGCTCCTCTCGAACTCGCCGACGTACTCGCAGCCGTTGTGGTAAACCATCGTACCTGCTCCTCCGTGAGACTCCTTCTTATCCCTCCCCTCCCCCTCCCCTCTTCTCCTTCTCTCCCTCTCTCCTCTTCTCCTTCTCTCCCTCTCTCCTTCTCTCTTCTCTCCCTTCCTGCCTCCCTTCATCCCTCGTTCACACGCCCCACCTCTCCTCTTGCTTTTCTCTCTCCTCCCTCAACCTCCGCCATCAATCATTCTTGCTTCTTCCATTCTCCATTGTTCCGCTTCCTCCACCTTCCCTCCTCTCTTCCCTTCTTCAAACTGACCCTTTTCATCCCACATTTTCCATAGCTCAGCCTCCTCTCCCTCCTCCTCCTCCTCCTCCACCACCACCTCCTCCTCCTCCTCCTCCTCCTCCTCCTCCTCCTTCACTCACCGAAGCCATGCATTTCACCCTCCCTCCACTCTCCCTTGTATCTCGCATTGTGCCGCCGCTGCCTGTCCTGCCCCTCCCCCCTCTCGCTCTTCTCAGCGAGAATGATGGTGCCGACGCCATGTCGGAGATTGTTCTTCCACTCCCCTGTGAGGTATCACCAATGCGGAGGAGCGAGAGATGGGAAACAACAAGACAAGGGGCCGACGAAAAAAAGTCCAGGGAGAGGAGGAGAAGGATACAAAGGACAAAGGAGAAGAAGTGCGAGGAAGGGAGGGGAGGAGCAACGAGCAAGGAAGGATGGAAGGGAGAGAAAGGGGAGGAGAGGGGAGTACCGAAGTATTCGTCTCCATTGAGGTAGTTCTGTACACCAACACCCGATCGCTGGTTGTTGATAGCTCCTCCTGTATACGTTCCTGCTCCAGGATCTCATTTGGACCTCAGCCAAACTTTTACGTCACCAATGTGATCGCGCAAGACTGTAGCTGCTCCTCCTGCTCCTCCCTGCTGGGTAGAGGAGATTCCCTTTAATGCTGCTGCTCCCAGACTCTCCAGCATTGCATCGATTTGCATCTGAAAAGAATAAAGTTGAGGAGACAAAAAGCAAGCGCAGAAGCAGGGCAGAAGCCGGAGCATGAGCAGGAGCAGGTAAAGCATGAGCAAGAGCAGGAGAAGGAGAAGGAGAAGGAGAAGGAGAAGGAGAAGGAGAAGGAGAAGGAGAAGGAGAAGGAGAAGGAGAAGGAGAAGGAGAAGGAGAAGGAGAAGGAGAAGGAGAAGGAGAAGGAGGGAGTCAGGATATTGCAGCAAGTATAGAGGAGGAGTTTTCAACGCAGACCTTTCTTGCTGTCAGTTTGCTGTTGTCAAGGATGACCTGCAAGTGCGTCACGTCAAACGTCACGCCAGACCCACTTACGCCTTCCGGAAGCTGCTGGGCGTCCCTGCTATGACGGTGAGCTCGATGTTCGACTCACAAGCAAGAGAGTGAGAAAGACAAGGGGAAGAAGAAGGAAGGGGTCTAGGGAGAGGAAGGAGGGGGGAAGCAGTAGGGGTAGAGAGGGAGAGGGAGAGGGAGAGGGAGAGGGAGAGGGAGAGGGAGAGGGAGAGGGAGAGGGAGAGGGAGATCTCCTCTGAGGGAGATGGTGAGGGAGAGGGAGAGGGAGAGGGAGAGGAACTTGGGAGAAGACAAGGGCTGAAACGTCAAGACATGGTAGCTCCATTCACCTTACAGGTCGTCCGACTTCTTTGTTTGAAGGTTTTCTGTTCTCGTCCAATTCATCACCAGTCATCCTGTCAAAGGCAAAGAAAACGGACCTGAGATGTTCAAACTCATCTCTCCGCAACGAGACGCTCTGATAGGACAAGAACGTGTCACGCGGACCAATGAACCATCAGGAGATGGAAGTTTCTCCAATGCAGCAAAGGTACCTGATTCTGAGACCCATTCATGTTTTCTTGCTTCACAACTGTTCGCATATCACAATCAAGAAGCAAGGTATCTGATCGCGTTTCTTACCACTCTTGAACGTCGTGTGGGGGGCAGGTACCCTCAGGACTGCTACACGAGAGACTTTGGGCGTGTGATGTTGATTGATCTTGGACGATGCAGTGAGTAAGAGATTGAAAATGGAGGGAAAACAACACAAGGCAAAACAAGGAAAGAAAACAAAGAATTACAGCAGGCGAGGCTAGACGAGACAACCTGAAAGCTTGCATGTGCGTCTGACCTCTCAACAATCAGCACGCAGCTTGTCCCTTCTTCACCGCGGATCAGGCTGACAAGCTGCAAACAAGCAGTCATTCGGATCAGGCTCCTGCTCCTGCTTTTCTTTCCTCGTCCATGGACAATCCTTTGGTCGCGCGTCCGTCGATACTCAAAACCTTGTCTCCTTCCTTGATCTTCTCAACCGGTCGTGAAATTTATCATGTCAGCATCCACTCCTCCTCCTCCTCCTCCTCCTCCTCCTCCTCCTCCCCCTCCCCTCCCCCTCCCCTCCCCCTCCTCCTCCTCCTCCTCCTCCTCTTGCTCCTCTTGCTCCTCTTGCTCCTCTTGCTCTTCTCGCTTCTTCACCTGGTTGGACAACGCTGCGCCCCCTCCTTCCACCACTCGCTGGATCAAAACGTCGCCTCCCCCTTCCGTGATGTGCAGCACGATCCCAAGACCAACCAACGCCTGCCCATCTCCATTCGCGTGCGAGCTCCGAGAGGAAGGAGGTGGTCGAGGAACAGAGACGAGAGCGCTCTGAGGAGTCTCTGGAGAGGAGGATCAACAAAGAGACAAGCAAGTAGGGCAAGGATGAGGGACCTCCGACTCTTGCTATCCTGCCTTCCAGGGACTCGTAGTCAACCCTGTTCGAGCACCAAGTCAAGGGAGCAACAGCAGCAGCAGCAGGACGAATTAATCACTTCTCCATGCGCTCCCCCCCTGGCAGGACGTCCAGCAGCTTTTCGATCCATGCGTCCCTCTCCATTCTGTTGGCAGCTCTGCACAACCAGAACTCTGTTGACGAGCGAGAGGGGTTGGTTGTGTTGAGATTGTCCTGCACCATCTCAACATCATCTTCGACTCCAGCGTCATCAAGTGCTTACCCGAATTTCCAACTCGAAGCTCTCCTCGTCCACTCTCGATGGCGGCAGGAGAGCAACTTGGCTCACGCTGACTTGGAAGGAAACCAACTGATGTGTGTCAAGTCAGTTGCTGAAAGCATGCAAGTGATGTCGTCACGTTCACCTCGCCTGCAGCATAACTCCCAGAATTCACATGACCTGACATGTACAGTCAGTGCACATCAGCAACCAGCAGGTGCATGAGAGCAAACTTTTGTTCTTTGTGAACAATCTCAATCTTCTTGTCGTCAGAATGAGAAGACATTCATGCCAAGGTGTCCCGGGCTGCCGCAAGGATAAGCAATATGAGGCCGTGGCGGGCAAGCAAATCACCTGAACGCTGTACTTGATCAGCAAGTTCCCGCTCTTCACTTCTCGTTCTGTATCATCTGCTCTCCTTCCACTCGAGTCTTCACTCTGCACACATAGTCATGGCTGTAAGCACCATGCCCCAACCATCGACACTAATACCCGCAGCATGCTCCTGAAACTCCGGGAGGGATCTTCTTGCCTCGACTTGACGGGCATGGAGAAAGTATCGGCCATGGCGGGACGAGGAGAGGAGGAAAAACTGGCAGGATGCAGAGGAGAAGACCAAGTATCTCGCATGGAGGCCGACAGGAGATCTGACCGGTTGGGGGTGTATGAAGGAGGAGGATGAGCAGGAGCATGCTGGTAAGGAGTGACGGGGGCAGGTTGGTAAGGAGGAGGAGAGAGGGTGCGAGGAGGGTAGTAGATGGAAGGAGAGGAGGAGGAGGGAGGGAGAGAGGGAGCAGCAGGAGAGGCGCGCATCCGTTGCTCATTCGCGAAACGGACTGAGCGCGCCATGGATTGAGGTGTAGCTACACGGGTGGTGGTACAGAAGAGGGTGGGTAACCACAAATAACAGGGGTGGGGTCAAACACGGAACGGTACTAATAGGAGTGACATGAAGGGGTGATCACGGAAATCTAAGGAAGATGACCGGTGGTATGAATCAAAATGGGGGTACTGGTGACAGGAGGAATGATTGGAGGGGCGGGATTGTCAAAACTGTTCTATGCAGTGAGTGTTCATGGTTGGAGATGGGAGGGAAGAGGAGGGAGAGGAGGAGAGAAGGGGAGAGAGAGAGGAGGAGAGGAGAGAAGGAGAGAGAGAGGAGGCGAGGAGAGGAAGAGGAGGAGAGAAGGGGAGAGAGAGTAAGAGGAGAGGAGAAGTAGGAAGTTCTGAGAGTTTAGGAGAGGGTTGAGTGGACAGTTAAGACCTTCAGGAAAGCAGAATCAAGTGATGACATGAAAGGGAGGAACAGGAGGAGCGGGGAGAGGCGGAGGAGGAGGATCAACAATTGTTATTATTGATGCCAAATGAGACATAAAGTTTGACGTCCCCACCAAGTTTTCAACCTCTGTCGTGCTCTACAGCTTGTCTCACTTTCCGGCTGTTGGCAGACTTGAGAGGTAGAGGACGATGTCGTTGTGCTGACAGTGAGGTAAGCAGCAGCCCCTTCTTCTCCTCACTCCTCACTCCTCACTCCTCCCTCCTCCCTCCCTCCTTCCACCCTCCTCCCTCCTCCCTCCTCCCCCACCCTCCTCCCTCCTCCTCACACCTCGTTCCTCCTGGCATAATCCAAAGCTGTCGAACCCTACCACCACTCGTCAGCCATGTAGCAGGAGGAGCACAGGGACCAAACCTCGACATCCTCTATCGAAGGGTCTGCTCCACAGCTAACCAGCGTCTCTGCTGCGTCCATGCTCCCGAAAGCCGCAGCGCTGTGCCTGAACAGAAGCAAGGAGATTCAGCATGGTGCTGGGCCGGCAAGAAGGTTCACTGACAGCGCCGTCCTGCTATGATCGTCGATGGCGTTCACGTTGGCTCCTGCCTGGAAGGAGCATGAGGAGGAAGGAGGGAGGGGAAGAGGAGAGAACTTGATGGAGAGTTTGAATGATCTGCTTGTTCCCCGCCATCGCTGCAATCTGCAGGAGCGACAAAACATCAATGGGAGCTGACAGGAGAAGAGGTCAAGGTAGAGTTGGAAGTGGCAGCGTGAATTGAGCAGGCAGGCAGGCAGGCAGGCAGGCGCTGGAGCTGAGAGATGGATGGGCACAGGAAGCATAAGAGGAAAGTAATCAAGCTGTGGAGGAAGGAGAGGAGAGAGGAGAGGGGGGAAATGAGAAGGGAGAAGAAGGTGTATGATCTGAGCAGTAAAGAACTCAAAGTTACCTGCATGCAAGTACGGCCGTCCTCCGCCTTCGCCTCCATATCTGACAAACCAGCGTATGGGACGGAGCGCAGCAGCAGGAGCAGAATGAGAGGCAAGAAGAAAATGAACATAAGGAGCAGGAGCAGGAGCAGGAGCAGGAGCAGGAGCAGGAGCAGGAGCAGGAGCAGGAGCAGGAGCAGGAGCAGGAGCAGGAGCAGGAGCAGGAGCAGGAGCAGGAGCAGGAGCAGGAGGAAATTTACTTGCTCCACGCCCGATCAGCCACTTCACCATCCTGCAGGGGAGAAAGAGGATGAGGAGCAGAAGGGGAGGAGACAAGAAACAGGCTCACGCGTCCTGGTCCCCCAAGGTAGCGAGATGCAGTGCACTCAAGCCCTTCGGCCCCTGCTCGTTGATATCTGCTCCCATCTATCCAACGCTCGTCTCACCATCATGAACTCCCTCCTCTCCCCTCCATCTTCCTTCTTCCCTCTTCCTCTTTCCTCCTGTTGCCCTCTGCTCCCTCCCTTCCTCCCTCCTCGCTCTCTCCCACTTCCCCCTCCTCTTACTTGCAGGAAGACATTCACGTCCTTCTCCGATCCCATCGCAGCAGCAACTGCAAGAGGATAAGAACGCCGAGCAGCCATCGGGAACAGGACCGTGAAAGTTGAGCATCAGGTCAGCCTTGGGCATCTCGTACTCCTTCGAGTTCAGCACAGAGCTGGAGGAGGGGAGAAGTAAGGGGAAGGGGGAGAGCTGCGGCAGCGAGCACCTGCCGTTGTTGTATACGAGAGCTTCGCAAGCTTTATCCATCTCCTCATAGCTCCAGATCATGTCGCTCGTCCAGTTCTCGTGCGTCAGGTGATAGGGGCGAGGGAACATCTCCTGCAGCTTCTGTATCTGAAACACAAGCTTCATCCTCCTGCCTCCCGCCTTCCGCCTCATCTTGCTCTTCCTCCCTCCTCCTCCTCCTCCCCCTCCTCCCCCTCCTCCTCCTCCCTCTCCTCCTCCTCCTTCTCCTCCTCCTCCTCCTCCTCCTCCTCCTCCTCCTCCTCCTCCTCCTCATACGAAGGCATTCTCGTTTATGGTCCTGTTGGCTTCGTCGACGAGGCTGGTCAAGTTGGCGATGGACGCATTGATGTCCTCGATGTCTTGACGCCTCTCCACAAACCACTGATACCTGGGGTGGTCCTGCAGAACCAGCATCGGGTCCTTCTGCCGCCGATCCATGTGTTCCATCCACTTCTTCACAGCCTGCTGCAGCTCCTCCGCTTTCTTCTTGTCTTCTGGGGTCTCCTCCTCTTCCTCGTAGTCGCCCTCACTCATGGGCTGGGATGATGCTTCTTTCTCCTCCTCCTTGGGGAGGTACAAGCTCTCGTCGACATCGGGGAGCTCTGCATCATACCTCTATCATCTTCACCCCTTCTCGTTCAGAGCTCTCACCGTTTACATCGCCGAAGTCCGCAAGGACGACCTCAGAAGCATGGCTGCTAAAGTATTGGTCGCTCCCTCCTCGCAAAGCGATACGTAGCCGCCCCAGAATCCTCCCCCCTCCTCCTTGCTCTGCCCCATTAGACGTCCGATGCGACATGCTCGGTTGCAGAACGCTGCATCCCATACATGACACACACATGAACAGCGTCATCAACATCAAGCCCTTGTTGGTCATTATGATCTTTATCTCACTTGCAAGCCTCTTCCTTTTCACCTTTTTCATCTCCATCTTCTCCATCTTCGTCATCGTCTTCATCTCCATCTTCTCCATCTTCGTCATCGTCTTCATCTCCATCTTCGCCTTGTCTTCGTCGCCATGACTTCGTCGCTTCTTCGCTTCGTCACTTTCCTCGCAGGCAGACCGGGCGCAACATGAAGGATCCCAACATCGCACCACCACTACCCCCTAAATTGACTATCCAAATACCCCTCCCCAGGCCGGGACGATCTGTCGGGGCGAACTGCCTGCAATGCAGTAGATGGAGAAGACAGTTCAAGAGGAAAGGACAAGGAAGAGAGCACAGCACAGCACAGCACAGCACAGCACAGCACAGCACAGCACAGCACAGCACAGCACAGCACAGCACAGCACAGCAGAAGAGGCAAGGCAAGGCAAGGGAGGGAGGGAGGGAAAGAGGATACAAGAGAAGAAGAGAGAAGAGAGAATGGAATGAAAGCGAGCGAATGGGAGGAACGAGATTCAACAGCGAACAGGAAGAAGTCCAAGTTTCATCTACTGCTCAGAGTCGTCCTCACCCTTTTCCACTCCAAACCTTCGTCCTTCTACGCCCTACTGCTCCCCTTCGCTCTATCCTCTCCCTCCACATTCTCCCTCGCTTCTCCTTCCTTCTCTCATAAACCTCTCACAAGTACGCGAGTTTGACTTTGGTTTCAGGATGCTCTGTTAGAGATGAGATGAGAAGGAGGCAGGGAGCTACAGTCCACCTGCTGCTGGTGCTGGTGCTGGTGGTTGGTCTGCTCAAGGACCTGGCTCCATGTTCAGCAGCAGCGCAGGAGGAGGGGAGGGCAACAAAGTACATCTGGCTGATGCAGGGGAAGGAGGAGATGTCCCTGGACTTCTTGCGGTCGGACCACTCAGACGCCATCCAGGTGAGTGGGTGGTCGAGCAACAGCAGGAGGAGGAGGAGGAGGGGCAGGGGCAGCAGGAAGAGGGAGAAGAGAAGAAGGACAGAAGAAGGAGCTGGAGCAGGGGAAGAGGAGGAGGAGGAGGAGGAGGAGGAGGAGGAGGAGGAGGAGGAAGAGGAGGAGGGAGACTGATCCAGCTCCTTGCTGCAAAGGTTGTGTGGGGGAAGGGGCCGAAGAACCATAGCAAGGACGCGTACTACCTTCCAGACAGCACCTGCACCGAGGGGAGGAACTTCCTGCTGCAGATGGTGAAGCATAAGGAGCGAGGAATGTTGGCGGCGTAATGACGGCAGGAACTACCAGGCGCTGCTGCGAGAGGAGGAGGAGGGGATCCGCTACGACTACTTCATCTACACGGAGGATGATGCCGAGCTGGAGGAGATCTTGGACTTCGGGCACAATGTGGGAGATCCGTACAGGTACAGTCAGACGCCATGTGACCATCTCCTGCTCCTGCTCCTTCTCTTCTTCCTCTTTCTCTGCCTCTTCCTCTTACACGTCCTGCTCCTGCTGCCGCTCCTTCTGTTCCTGCTGCTGTTCCTACTCCTCCTACTCCTGCTGCTCCTCTTGCTTCCACATTCCTCCTGCTCCCCCTTCTACTTCTGCAACTTCTCCTGCTGTCCTTGCAGTCTCTGCGCACGTCACGTCCCGCCTGCTCGTCTACGTTCCTCCTTCTCTCTCATGCTCCTTGCCGCAGGACCTTCGAGCGCTACCTCCACATGTGGGAACCAGCCGTAGCTTTCCCTTTCAACGGCTACGGCATGCCGGACCCGCCGGAGGAGGTGAACTTTGCCTTGCTGCCCTCCTGCCTCTCAAACCCCGGCGTGAAGGTGGTCGCTGCGTGCTGGTGGGACCATCTCATGGTACGAGTTGTTTCCTCCTCCTGCTCCTCCTGCTCCTCCTCCTGCCCTTCCCTCCTCATCTCCTTCCTCCTCGTCTCCCTCCTCCTCCTCCCCTCCTCCTCCTCCCCTCCTCCTCCTTCTCTTCTCCTTTTCTGTCCTTCCTCATCCTCTACCCGCTTGTCAGGTCGCGTTCCACCGGGACGCTCTCCCTGCTCTCCTCCCCTACTGGACTGGTTGCCTCTGCTTCTCCTCCTGCTCTTGCCCTGAGAGAGCCGCAGGTTTCGACAAGGAATCATGGTGGTTTCCACAGAGAATCGTCACGGTCCGCTGCCTCCTTTCTCCTCTACTTCCTCTCTCCTCCAACGCGTCCTCCTTTTCCCGTCTTTCAATCCTCCTTCTCAGCAGTGCAGCAGGTTCTGTCAGCAGCTTTCTTCCATGAGAATAGGATCCAAGGCAAGCGCCAAGCTCCTCCTCTCCTCTTCTGCTGAATTTCTTTACCCCTCAGTCAATGCTGTAGCTGCCATGAACACGCAGCACCGGTGGAACCCTGGTAAGTAGCGCTGGAGTGACCCGTCTTCTCTCACCCTCCTCTTTCTTCCCCTCTACCTCCTTATCCTTCCGCTCCGTTCATCCTGCTCCTGCTCCTGCTCCTTCTCCTCCTCTTCCTCTTGCTCCTCATGCTCCTCCTCATCATCATCATCATCATCATCATCATCATCATCATCATCATCATCATCATCATCATCATCATCATCATCATCATCATCACCCTCAGATATGGGAGACGTGGACTGGGCAGCTGTCAACAGTTGGGTCCTGCCGTCTATCCGAGGTTCGGAGGAGGAGCAAGTCTGTGTGTCCTGACGCTCAGCTGGAAGAGAGCTCGGCACTGATCAACCTGACCTGTGCCTTCGACAACGATCACTGGACTCCGAGCGCGGCTCGCAGGAGAGGAGGTGGAGGAGGGGAGGAGAGGAGGAGGAGGAAAACTCCCAAGGAGCAGGAGCAGAAGGCACAGGGCAGCAAGTGAACATGAGGAGGACGAGGATGAGGACGAGGACGAGGACGAGGACGAGGACGAGGACGAGGACGAGGAGAAGGGGAGGGTTTATCTTCTCACTGACATATTTTAAGCGAGGGAGTACAAGCTCGTTGAGGGGGCGATAGACGGCTGCCACCCCCTCCACTCCTCCCGCAAAGTCTTCTGGGACTCTCAGGTCAGCCGCCAGACCTTCCAGCTCTGCTCCAGCTGACGACCAGCACAGCCGAGCAGGGACCGTCGGACGGTGAGGACGCACGAGCTGGGGGTGAGCTGGGAAGGTTTCCGTTGCTTCCTCTCCCTTCTCCTCCTCATGCCCCGGGCTGCCTCAGGTTGCCTCGGTTACAACCTGGTGGAGGAGGCGTGGGACCAAGTCAACAGAGTCTCGTCACTGGCCCCTAGATCTCCCGATGTAGCCTCTGCTCTGCTGATACTGACCCACCTCGGCTGGATCCTCCTCCTCCTCCTCCTCCTCCTCCTTCTCCTCCTTCTCCTCCTGCTCCTCCTTCTCCTCCTTCTCCTCCTTCTCCTCCTCCTCCACCACCATCATCACTTGCTCCTCCTCCTCCTCTTGCTCCACCACCACCACCACCATCACTTACTCCTCCTCCTTCTTTTGCTTCTCCTCCTCCCCCTCCCCCTCCTCCTCTCCCATGTCGATCGCTGAACTTGGTGAGTATCCTGCAGCCGGATCA